ATATTTTTATCTAATTAAAATTACCACCTATATTCCTAATTTTTGCCCATTTAGCAACGAACCCCCCAAATTTCCCATTATTATTTCATCCACAAATGGCATTATATTTTTCCTATATAATAATTATATATATTATATATCATATATTATATATCATATATATTATATTATGTATCATATATCTTTATTATATTATATTAATTCTAAATTAGATAAATTATTTAATATATTTTATTATTATTTATTATTATAAATAAATAAACATTATTTATCATTTTCCTCATCGATTAAAATAATTTCAATATTATATTTATAGATAATTCCAAAGAAATTATATATAAAATATCGGATCCATTATTATCTCAACATATCAATATATATAATAATACAAAAAAAAAATATAATATAATAATATATAATATAGATGGATATATCTCAGTATCGTACAGCTCAGCATCAGTGCGTAGCACCACACCGCGTCGCATCGTGTCGCGTTACGTCGCGTCACTTCACGTCAGATCAAATCATATCACATCACATCAAACATATTTGTATTTATACTAAATATTTATATGGAATGATTTAATGTATTACTTGTTAATTTTTGATCTATATATATATATATAATTAGTTTTGAGCTATCTTCATCAAGCGTTCTGAGATTCTGGAAGTTGAATTTCCTTTGGAAATCCTTCCGCAGCTATAAAAAACTATAAAGGACTACAGCGCAACCGAGCAGTTGAAGCTATTGAACGGACAGATCAACATGGAATTAACCTGAATTAATGATGTTAAAATAATCAAATCACTATCATAGATACCGTTAGAATGTTAGAAAAAATCAAGTCACCATTAATAAGGGTATGTTATTGAAGTACGAAGGGATAAAAACCAACACTAGAGGGGATTGAACATGGAATCCCATCACCAGGGGTTCGCGTCTGAGATGGAAATACAATATACAAAGCTCCACACCTGATGTGAAGCCCCAATAGATCATCATTGTGCTTTTCGGGATTGACATAAAAGAGGTCTCTAAAACTAAACACCAAGCATTCAATTTTTCGGCCCATGTCCACGGTTTTTAGCACCTGGTTGGTTCCGAAACCAGCTTTTCAAAAGATCGCGGCCTCGCAGTTAGATCCCATGAGGAGTTTTTCACCATCACAGCTGCATCATGTGGCACCCCCCTTTCTGGGTGACCTCCAGATGCGAACAAAAAGACCCAAAACGATGAAGGATTTCGGAGCCGCCCCGAAACAATAAGTCGGTTGCCATATGCCATAGCCTCTGGTTATGTCAAAATAGATATTGAAAATTGCCCAGTTTATTATAGCTCGTTTACCCATTAATAATGGTGGATCTTTCCATAGCTACGTTAGTTTACCAGAGGGTAATGGGCCAGATGTCGAAGTCAAATTACCATGATCAGTAATTGGAGGTAATTTGATCCATTGGAACTATAATTGGAACTATAATTATCCATGAATAATCAAATTACCATGATGTTATCCATGAATAGTCGCAGCACCTCCAATGGTCAGCTGCGCTGATCCACCTGGCACCGGCCTTGTCGCCTCCTTTCTGTTGGAGACGACCCGGGCCCGGGACCGTGATGTGCGCCAAGACCAAGCTCTGTTGGAGGCTGCTACATCACGTGGATGAGGACAACAAGGTGGCACACATGTGGCACACAGTGAGTTTCCAGGTAAGGAAATCAAGTTGAGACATTGTGGAAAACAAAAACGGTTGTAGTCCTACAAATCAAGATTTCATCAATTTGGGGATCAAAACCTATAGCATACCTTTCTAGGGTGGGAACATCCATAAATCCCAGCTATGCGGGGATTAACAGCAGGATACCAGGGCTTTGACCCATGCCGATTCCTCATGTTTTAATTTTGGCGGCATCCTCCGTTCTCTGTGTGCCTCCCTGTGAGGATCCAAAAAAAACACCTCGCTGCGACTGCGGCTTCCGATCTCAGCAAAAATTGCTTCTTGTTCTCTCCTGTCACCATTCCTATCCTAGTCCTACAACCTTAAAGCTTAGAACAAGGAATTGTCAAGGGAAATCCGTGGACATCCACGGACAGCTCCAATTGAAATCAATAGCATTCTGCACCCAGTCATCTAACATTAAAATTTCTACTTGATTTACAGTATCGTGGTAGAATATGGAGGTTTCCTAATATAATAGGGGCCCCAAATCCCAAATCAGTCATCATCCATCTTAGTAGGATTTTGCCTTATAAACCATCCAGCTATTGGGGTACCCCCATTTATGGAAACCTCCACATTGCAAAAATTGCCATATTTTTTTGCTGTTTTTGATGGGGCCTCAGCCACAGGCTCCCCATCTGAAGGGGTTCCATGCGCTCCAAGACCAGTTGGACCACGTCTTGGCCGCCGCTGCGCCGTCGTTCACGGAGGCGGCCGTCATGATCGGCTCCACCAAGAGATCGCCTCGGCTATGGACAACATTTGCGGCTTTGAAGGTGGGAAAACATGGTGGTGTTGGGAGAAATTAACCCAGAACCTGAAAAACATCAAAGGTTCCAAGAATATCCAAAAATGATTTTACTCCCAACGATGGTCTCTGGTTTGGGTTCCATGTGGGTTTGTCTGAAAATAGGATACCCTAAATCTGACAGTCAGTCACCATTTTCCCAAACATGTTCATAAGATGATCATTTTTGGGTGTGCACACCATTTCAGGGCTAAACTCACATCCTTGGAATTTCTGAAACATCCCATCAAACATCCAACTGAAACATTCCAGGTTGGATGCCCCAAACTCATAGCCCCAACTGACCCCTCAAGGTCCCCACAAGCGACCACCGGAGCTTTATCCCTGGGTGGGGGGCCTGCAAGTGCCAGGATTCTGACAGTCAACAAACCCGGGGATTCCCAATGACTCCCGAAACATCTGGTTTAATGGTGGATTCTCACTACTATGATCAGTGAAGTTAGTTGATTTAGTTGACTTTTGGTGGATATCTACACTCCACCAAAAATGATCGAGAAACATACGCTTCTGGCTGTCAAGGGGGCAGACAGAAGATTCTTGAATCCTAGTGCCCAAACAGCTTGAGAAGAGAATGTGATTTTTCGTGCATCCAAGATTTTTGTCTACCAACAAAATTTCAGACCGTTTTTTGGCTGGTCCTATTACCATCTATTACCCACTATTGTTGGTTCTGCGCTCACTTCTGATGCTTCGGGCCTCTTTTCAATAAACCAAACAAGACCCTAAAAGTTTCACAACCAACCAAAAAATAAACCAAAATCACGCCAACAACAACATCAACAAAAACAATCCCCAACAAAATCGTTGGATAAAAGTCATACATCATTTTTTTTCACTACACATGGTGATTTCCCATGCACTTCCCACATGTTCCCCACGACACGCCTAGATTCCGCGCAGCGCGGTCCGCGGCATAGGCTAAGGCGGAGGACCAGGCGGCGAAGGCGGCCTTCTCTTCCTGCACGGAAAAGCCACAAAAACTGGAGACATCTGTTGGGGGATTCACTATATAACCGCCAGAAAACATAGAACCCCAAAAAAACACGGACACCCCATAGTGATTAATTTTTGATCACTTTGGTCTGTCTTCTTAGACATGATCAATATAGAAGGTCATGTTAAGAGAAGGGGAACATTACTGGGGAGAGGAAATGGACCATCTTTGAATGTTGTGTTCTTGGCCATTCAAAGAAGATGGAGAACATGTAAGAATTTGACCACTTTTGTTTGGAAATGGACGCATGTGAATGATTTGGGGGGTGCATGTTTGAGATGTTTACGGACAAATTGTATATAATATGTCATCAGCCAGCTAACCAAATAACACCATTTGGGAATGCTGCCCCCCAAATCCTAATGATCATTTACGTCCTGACATCGCAAAGAAGTCGTTAAAAACCATTCAAAAATTCAATGAACAAAAATCATCTATACATAATAACCCCCCAAAAGACTCAGCACATGTATGTTACTTATGTTACCATATGTTACCATAGTTAAATAAATATATATACACTATACCAGTAGTAGTAATGCATGCTACTTATGCTGTGACCCCAAAAATACACATCTATATCATATGATAACACCCTGATGAAAAGGGTTACCAGAATATATTATCTTATGTCAACTATATAGTAACACCCTCATATAGTTAATCTTGACGCCATTTGTTTCGAAGGCTGTTCTCCTTGGCAGAAGCTGGCCCTGCCACGAAACCAGATCCTGGCGACGTTTTGTGCAAAAAGCACTGGGAAGCTGAACAACACATCACTTCCCATAAAAACTAGGCAAGAAATCAAATGTATATGTATATGTGTATGTATACGTATGTGTGCATATATTACATATATATATATGATTATATATGCATATAATTAATTGATATAATCCTAAACCTGCAAGAAATATATTCATTATTGTGTTCTCTCTCTTCCCTTTATGGATGTCCGTGGAGATTGTACCATGTTCCTACTTGGGCAATGTGGGCTTTGGTGGATGGGTTTAGCTCCCTGAAACCCGATTTTGTTGGTTTTTGCAGTTGGGATTCTCCCTGGGTGTAAGTAGAATATCATGCAATATATTCTAGGTGGTGGTTTTAACCATCTTGAAACATATTAATCAATGGGAAGGATGACATCCCATATATGAAATGGTAAATAAAAAATGTTTGAAACCACCAACCAGTATATATATATATATATCCACCATAATCATGGCAGTACGCCCAAAAGTTGGGATGTAATTGATGTAATCCCAATAACTAGGGTCATCTGTGGAATTGCCCCGTCCTGCGGCGCATGGTAAGAGTTTCTGTCCAGATTTCAAGACCTCAGAGCGGGATGAGGCGCCTATGGCTAGTTCACATAGGTCTTCAATGGGTTAATTCATGGCCCTGTGAAATCTGAATGAGGGACCCCATCTTGTGAGGGACCCCATCTTTGTAGCTAATGGCCTATGAACAATCTCCATCTAGCGGAATCTCCAAGTTTGCTGACCCAGCCAGGGTCCCCAACAGCATCGCCCAGGGATGGAGCTGTGACATCCAGCCAATCTGCCAACAAATTGCCTGCAGTGGCGATGAGGGGGTCATCACTTGGCGGTGAAATGGAGATGAAATGCATGGTTCACAACGATCAAAAGATCAAACAGCTGAAGGACTTCAGAAGACGCAGATCAAAAGAAGAAATTGTTACTGAGTTACTTAAAGAAGATCTTTCAGAAGATGTTACTTAAGGTTCAGATCTTCTGGAAGGCCAAGATTGGCGCTGACTTCGTGCCCAAACAAAAACCACGGCCGCCACCTCCATATTTTACATCCTAATCTAGTTGTATACGGGATAACCGCACTTAGGGATTTACTTGCCAGGACTATTAACTAACTAATATGTGTAATATATATATTACCTATGTGTGATTAATTAAGTATATTATAATATATATATATACAGTATACAATATTATATTATATTATATTATATTTTATTAAATGAAATTATATTATATTATATTATATGATATTATATTATATGTTATATTATATGATATTATATTATATTATATTATATTATATGATTATATTATATTATATTATTATATATATATGATATATATATATACACTATATATATACACATAATATCTATATAATTATATATATACATAATATCTATATAATTATGTAAAAAAATGCACATGATACAGCTCCTCCCCTCATTCGGCCTGGACGTGCCAAGGGCAAATCGAAGGTCTCGTTCCACTCCGGATTCAGGCTGCGCGGGACGACCTCAAGGCCCCGCAAAGGTTCAGTTACATTGTGGTTGTTATGATCATTATGATGGTTATGATCATAATCATCATCATCATAACTAAAAACCATGATATGGTTTTTAGTGTGTAAAATGATCACTATCATGGTGAAATTATCATTGTATCATGTTTTTCTCAATGATCAAAATAAGAATTCTATTTTCAATGATTATCTGTATTAAATTATGATAATTACATAATTTCTATCATCCGTTACTTTTATATGTATCATGGTGAAATAAAACGCATGAAACTTGTCATGGATACCCCCCAATAACTATCAGCTGAATGTTTATTTGTGGCCGCTTTTCAGACGAATGATGAGCCATCAGCCGGGAAGAACCCGAAAAGCACCTGCTGGTAAAACCACCAATCACAAAGGCTTACAGTATGACATTGCTACTATTATATGGATGTGTCTGAAAACAGTGAAGACTCCGACCGAGGCAATTTCATAGTCGAGAACATAAATTATCGAATCAGTCGCATGATCTTTATTGTCTATTGTTGTATATGTTTGTTCATGGATAAAACTTGATTTTCCAATGGATATGTTTATCTGACATATATGGACTGCTTCTTTCTGTGAACAACGAGTCCCCCCACAGAGCTCCGCTGCTGGAAGCAGAATTGTGACTCCTCCGTGGTCAGTCTTAGAAAGCAATCGTATAGGAAACGTGATGGTTAGTTAATGTTACCCAATTCCATATGTATAAGTATAAGTATGACTTGTTAGCATAAAAACATTGATAATCCAGCTGAAAAACTAGTTTTGAATGGAACTGTTCAGAGATTGAAAGTAAACACATGTTTGAAACCACCAAATAGCCATTACGGATGGCACGGTGGGTGAATGCCTGGAAGCATGTGGAGGGACATGGCTGACAGATTTTCAAGACATGGTGGACTTTCACAAACCACATTTCTTGAGCGCCAATTTGAGGGTGTGTGTATGAGGCGGCCTTGCAAACACATACTCTTGGCTGTAGACCAGAGCTTGTTGGCTTTGCGATATTCAAGGGCTCGTCCAAAAATGGGGTTCCCCTCAATGCCACCAAAATGGTGGAATGGGTATCATGATCATTTACCAACCTGCCTAAATGAGAGATGGAGGGTTGCAGCATCCCTATTTTTAAAGCTGACTATTAAGAAAAAACACATCCTGTAAATGTCTACCACTATTTCTGGTGATACCGGCACTTGAAGTGGTGATACCCTCGGCAAAATCTAATTTGGAAATAGTCAATCCCCTAATTTTTCAGTGAGTTTTCCCACGGGTCTCCTATTAATCTATGAATTCTAGTGCTATATTTTCCCTTGGATACCCTCTGATAAACTAACATAGCTACTGAACATGGTTAGTTATAGTTGATTTACCTATTAAAAATGGTGATTTTCCATAGTTATGTAAACGTTTACCAGGGGGTATCCATTGAACATCCACTGAACGTTGCGCTTTCCCAGCACTTCCCATCCGGAATGGACCTCCCCGCCAGTGGCATAGACGGAGACCCAGGCATCCGAAGCTCAGTTCGCAGGTGCCCGTGGAAGTTGAAAAAAACCGAGGAAAAATGGTAGGATTGGAATATTAGATATTCCACCATTTTTCCAATCCTAGATCCTACCATTCCAATCTCAACATCTATCCTAAAATCAAGCCTAATATCATATCTTAAATCTAGTTAATGATAGATGTTAAGATTGGAATATTAGATATTCCAATTCCACTATGAGGTGTCTAAATATATCTGATATAAATTAATAAGAATAGAATATCCTAATATCTAAGCATATTTATTAACTTTTGATATCTAACATATCTATATAATTGATTCTTCAATATATCTACATAAATATGCTGCATATGTTAAAATAACTTGAAAAATGATGATGATGATGATGATGATGATGATGACGATGATGATGATGATGATGATGATACTGTATATGATATATGATATATGTATATACATATATATATATATATATGCATATCCAGATCTTATATCCATATTTTAAACTGTATATTTCGTACATATAGGAATCGGAAATACAATGATCAAGACTATGTATACACATGTCATATCATTTAGTGGTTAATGTTATTGAAAGAAAAAACAATTACAGAATTGAAACTATGAATATGGGTTTGAATGGATATCATTACATATAGCTGCAAACCATTATCCAAGAACAAAGCACACAATCAATTGAGATATATATATATATATATATACTAGCGATGTGATTATTTTTTCATGAGAGGTCACTTTTCTTTTGCGAACGGACATGGTGTACCAATTCAGCCACAAATTGCTAATATTTTCTAATTCTCAGCCATTTCGATGGAAACTGCAGCGTTTTCGTACAAGGTTGCCATGAAGGGCTGGAGCCTGTGCCCCATTTCATAGTCACCTTCTACCTCCGGTGACTCTCAATATCTCTGGTAGTTTCAGCCTATCATTGGATAAAGTCACATTTTTATTAGTTGTCTTTCTTTGCTAAACAAAAAACACGAAAACAACCTTTTGTTGGCTAGCCCTCATCTTATTAGCTTCAAATGAGTCAATGACATGTTGTTGCCAAATCCAAAGTGTTTGGTACTCCCCTATAATTTGGCTATACAATCCCTTTTAGGAGGGGAACCTCCGCTAAATGTAACTTATATACATTCTCCCAAAAATCCATGAAATCAGTACCTTCAAACATGTAACTTATATCTAGGGAGTTCCCTCTGAAATTTAGAGGGACATGTAATATATTGCATTATTACATTTGGAAGGTAAAACCTTCCCAAATGTAAGTTACATTTTGAAGGTGCCATGTCTGTGGAAGAATCTTCTTTTTTAAGAAACAATTCTGGCGATGGTGTTCAGTGGTGTGCCATAGAAGGTCTTTTTTAATGAACAATTGCAGGTGTTTGGAACCTTCTCCAATTCATCTTAGATTTTTTGTCCCTAGGATGGCACCTTGAAGATTTGTGGTGTTCTGGATTGTTTTTTGTGGTGTCCACCTTCTTTTGTGCATTTTTGACAGCAATAATGTTGGGTGGTGGGCCATGGAAAATGTAAGTTGGTGGTGCTGAGTTCTTGTTTTCCCTGACAAATGCAGGTGTTTGAACCTCCCCCAAGGGACCTCAATTACATTTTTTTGCGCTTGAGAAGCTGAAAGACGTGGGCTTCTGGATGGTCTGAGAGATGGGATTTGCAGCAGCGGTTTTGTGTGGTGGGCCATAGAACATGTAAGTTGGTCGTAGGTTTTTGTTTTTCATGAACATTGCAGGTGTTTGGAACCTCCCCCACGGATCTTACATTTTTATCCCTAGGATTCCCTAGGTACCTTGAAAATGTTGAAGGATTTGGGCTGCTCGTGCTTCCCAACAATGGGGAAGTGAGGTTTTGAACGGGGTCAAAATGAAGCATCAAGCCACGCTCGGAAAAGAAAACTGGTGTGGCAAGCCAAATGTGGTCAGGTACCACAAATAGCAGGAGCAAACAAAATGTAAGTTACAATTGCTGGCCCCCCGCCATTTCCACCGTCACAACATGCCTGATGTCTTCCTGGAAGATACCCTCAAAATTCTTTGACCAGGGCCATGCCTTGGGGGGGTCGCTACTTACATCTTTAAACTTTGATTTTTGATACCTGACAGCTTTAATTTACAATTAGCCCCCCCCATTAAAAAAAAGAAAAATGTAAGTTACATTTTGCCAGATTCCCCCAAAAAACTAGGCAAAGGGGGTGGGGGTGCTATACAATCTTAGATACTTTGCACAAACAACTCTCTGCTCATCATAAGATGAATTGAACTGCTCATAATAAAATGTATATATATATATACAATCAGTGCAAGAAACTTGAAAACACATATTCATAACTATTCATATATGTATATACTCATGTACTTCTCAAAATATCTAAATTAAAACAAATTTCCCTGCCGTTCACCAGGGTTCACCCAGCAGTTTTCAGATATTTACCTCTGTTTTGGCTGATGAAAACCAAACTTTTGTTCTCCCACGCCCCATGCCGCCTGGTTTTTGCTGAAAACTCCACCTTTGTCTTTGTCATCTAATCACCTCCTCATTATTCTCCGCACCTAATATTTTTGCTGCTTCTTTCCCGGTCTTCTACCCTCTGGTTCCTTACCACAGCTATGAACAATTGTCCATGCAAATAGATGATCAACATCATGCTTTTACCTATTAACATGGTGATGTTCCATAGCAAACATCATGATTTACAGTACCTATCAGACCTATCAAAAACGCTGAATTTCCGAGACTTACAAAACAAACAAAACCAAAGAGACAGGATGGACCGCTTCATCTGCGCCACCCGGCTTCCGCTAAGGTCCCGCTTGGGAAGATTCACTGCACGGTGCACGTGGACCTGAGAAAGCCGGAGAAATACCATGCAATATGGTAGTGGCTTCATATCATATTCCATGTCTTTTGGACACAACCAAAACTGGTTGGTGGTGCAATAACCATCTTGAAAAAAATTAAAGTCAATGGGAAGGATGACATCCCATATATTATGGAAAATAAAACATGTTCCAAACCACCAACCAGGGACATAACCAAAAACTTGTTCTCAACAATTGCTGAGAGGGTCGACTATAATGACACAATTTCTGGGCTCTTCCACTCGCCAAAGTCCTCGCATGCGGACCTCCGGCGCTGAGCACGGCTGCTAGCATGGCTGGACTGGGGATCTATAGCAATCCGACAAAACATAGGAAAACAGAAAACCCAGAAATGAGGGAGACAACAACGTACCTATATATTTCAAAAAAAAAGTTTTATAGTACTTGATGTCCCAAACAAACTTCTCTATCAACTTGCGATTACAGATATTAAAGCAGGTAACGTGCAGGACCATTTGCAACGTGCAGGTTTGCAAACCTTTTCATCAAGCCAGGCCAATCTTAGATCTGATTGGTGGTTTCAACTCTCAAACATCTGTTCGTCAATTCGGATCATCATCCGATAACCCTTTCCAAACAACTAAAAACTTTTGGCTGGTGATACTGTTCCCCAAAACCCCAAATGAACAGATCACCAATCAATTAGAGATGCGGTTGGTTGACCTGGCTGGTCATATGGAGGGTCAAAACCCAAGAAGGGCACGCTGCTGAACAGTATACTGGCAAATGGATGTTCATCACATGGGCCATCTGGGCCATGCTGGTGAGTAACATATGCAGCTGTGTCTGAAGTTAGCGTAGCCCTAAATCCACTGGTTCATCATCCGTTATTCAAATAAATGGGCCAAAGGCCAAAGGTGGGCTATTTTCTGTGGTATAATAATGTGGTAAACCCAATGATAGATCTACCATTTGGATCTGGGATTCATTTGAGGATGGTTGATACAACCCATGTATGGTGATGACTTGGGGATGGCCGCTGAAATCCCACTATCCGCCTGCGACAGAGTGTGAAGTTGCACCGAGCAGGTCCTTGGGAGCCGCAAACCCGTCCCCCTAATATTAACCACCACCTAAATGGTCTTATAGAATGTCTAAATCCCCTACTAGACCATCGTTTATGGGTAGTGTTCAATATTTTGGAGAAGGGATGAATATGTTTCGAGAACTCCAGAACTTGCACTCACACTGATTTGATATGCCCGACAGCCAGATCTCAGTCTCAAAATTAAGATCCCCAGGACACACACAGATCAACCGCTCCTGTTTCTGCTAATTACTAAACCGAATCATTGTTGGTGGTACATTCGAAAAAGAACTTAATTATATCACACATGCCAATTGTTAAAAACACATGGTATGTGATGTATATAGTTTTGAACCATGTAACAATCATGTAACAATTGACATCTATTGACAGCCCCAACTCATCCCATCGCCATCTCCGGGCCGGGCCCCCCTTTGGCCCCGTGCAGCGTGGTGGGCAGGCCGTTCTTTCCGATGACCGGATTCTCGCTGCGGTCGACTAGCTGGATGACCTGCTCCCCCATGCAGCTGGCGTTCTTCTCATCCAGGTGGAGGGAGGCCTGGTCGGTAGGGAGGTGATGGGAAGGGAATCCCGGAAGCTCACAGAGTTGTTTTTCGGAGCACATATGGTGACAGAATAATTATGATAGAACTGATAGAACGGGGATCTGATGAATCTGATGGGGGATGTCAACTAGCAATCATGGAGATATAATATGATAATATGATATAATCAACAACTTTAAGGATGGATGGGCATGTCAACTGCCAAAAAATGGATGGATCTGCGGGTTGAAATCCATAAGAACAAGGGGGTTCCGGAGAAAGTAGCTTCCAATCCAGGGTGTTGTCCTCTTTTCAGAGATGCTGATGGAAAGGCACCGACAAATCAGACATTTTAACATGGGAAATTGAACCATAACCATAGTGAAGATAGTTACAGATAGTTCAACTAACAGGGGTTGGTAACTGTCCCATTCTGGGTATATTGGACATCACCTTATAGTAGCCATTATAGACCATATACCTAATGGTTGGGTGATGTTCAATGGGGACATTTAATGACCCATGACTAAACTACCAAATATGCGGTGGTAAAACTGGAGCCCGGGGGGTTCCTGGGATCCATCATTTTGGAAATTCTCTGATTGCCAGGGATGAAACAAACTGGGATGTCATCAGAGTCAGCAAAAGGCGAACAAATTAGACATCAGAGTTATCCCGGTTGGTGATTTAACTAATCGCAAAGCACAATCCTAACCATCCCCCAAAAGCTGAAGCCACCGATGATGATAACCATTCAGTCCACCCGGCTTTGTGCGAATAGATGAATTTACCATGCTTTACACCCAAATGGTCGGTTAAACACCAACATTTGCCATTTACACATGACAAACTACGACAGTCCTTTTCAAATCATGGGTAGCCTTCAGACAAGCTCGAACCTGCCGAAAAGTGCTTCAAGTAACGTTAACGTAACATTCGGAACATCAGGGGAAACCATCCGAAACCATCAGGTTAACCACACCATATGTTTATCATATGTTTATCATATGTTTATCATATGTTTATCATATGGTTATCATTGTATTGCTTGATGTTAGCCATTATCATAAACCATTTACCATTTCTTTACAATTATTTTCCATTTATGATATAACATGTTATCATTTACTGCTATTTATCATAAATGGTAATTAATTTTTCATTATCATTGGTATTGGTGCTTATCATTTTACCATTGGGTAACCATTGGTATTTATCGTTTACCATGGTGACCCAATGTGTTTTTTTTAACCATTGGTGCGTATCATTTTACTTACTGTACTGGTGCTAAACGTAGGGAATTTTCGGGAATGATCCCAGTCATCACTAGTAATAAACTAGTAATAATAATCCATATGATGCTATCCTATTCCCACCATGGTATTCCATGGGGATGATGATTATGATATATTATGATGATGATGATCCTATAAGGATACCATAGTGATTATGATGATTATGATGATTTTATTCTTATGATGATCCATAATCACTAGTAATAATCCATCCTATTCCCCCAGCAACCCATCCAGCAACCCTACGTTTAGCACACCAGTAGGATCCTGCCTGGCCGATGAAGTCATTGTGGCTGATCGCGTCAAAGTCCGCCACCACGAACTTCACCTACGCCGCGCAAGTCAAACGCCGGAGACCTGAGGAAAAAAACATGGCAAATCGGAGGAAAACCATGATTTAACCATAGGAAAGCCATAGGAAACCCATGGATTTTCCTCATTTACCAAAGGAAAATGGGTGATTTCATTGATTTAATCATGAACAAATAGGGATTTAACCATCAAATCATATGGATTTAACCATGACTTCACCCATTTTGTGGATCATTCCGGCAGTCTGATGAAAGCTAATGAATCCAGGATTTTATGGCTATTTGAATAGAAACATTGTTTTAATAGGAAAAATGGGGTAGGAAAAAAGTTTTAAGAAAGGGATGTTTCTATAGAAACATTATAGGTCTAAATTCTTAGCCCATAGTGAAAGCCACTGACTAAGTCACTACTCCTCAGACTCTTCAGTTTCATATTTTACCAATTTTGCATGGACAGTGAGAATCTTTATGCTTAGTCACTGGAGATCATAGAATTTCGACATGAAACAACCGAGTTCCCTAAACCAACCAGCTACATGATCATAATCAACGAAAATCAGATTCTTCCAAGCTCAAAATTGGATATCACTTGTTGTATACCCATGATTTACCACATTATCCAGTCGCTACCAGACCTAAATCCCATCGGGTATATAATTCAAACCTGAAACATGGGACTCACAGTTCTTGGGGGAACATGATCAAGAAATGGATAGAAGTGATATAACTTGATAATATTAGTTAGTAAGTTATGTATCCCAGTTACATCCTAGTTATTATAACTTGATAATATCACTATCATACGTGATATAACATGATAAATGTGCATCCCAGTTAGTAAGTTTTGTGTCCTCTAGCCTTTATATATCTGATCCATAGATCTAACTCACCAGGGCGCAGCCAGATGTACCTCTTTCCAGCCGTGGTTGTTGCCGAAACGATGCAGGTAAGCACGTGACGCCTGGGGAAACTGGACATGTGGACTGTCGACTCTGTGAATCATATATGGAACATCTCTATTGTATAGTGGGTTAATAAGTGAATTTCGGGATATCATTGTTGAGTGACTTTTCCAAAGTATGCAATGTTCAGTTTGAAGGGATCGCTGCCAGATTTAGATACGCTAATCACTACCAAGCTGATTGTTGAGGTCGTGGATCATTGATTTTTCCCACAAGAAGCATCTCATTTATGGGGCATGGTTGGCACGCGGTTGGCACGCCGGTCGAACATGATCCAAGTAAATAGCATTGACACTGAGTGTCTCTGAAAATGATGCCAACAAAGATAGTGTTTTGGGATATCTCAAAGTATCTTAAGATGATTTCCCTCGAGAAGATTCCACCCACTCACGTGCCTCCCAGCCAACCTTGTCGATGTTTGTGATGAATTCGCCTCAAATTCCAACAACCCGTGAACGGCCAGTGAAATGCTTCTCATGATGAAAATACCGGGTATCCAAACAGCAAAAAAAACACCATATTTCTCCATCATTCACCTGAATCCTCTACTACCCTCTGGTAAACTAACATAGCTATTGAAAATGGCCCATTTATAGTTGATTTACCAATTAAAAATCAGGCCGGGTAACATGGCAGGAGTTTTTCGTCCGACTCCTGGTTTCAGCGGGATGTACTTCTCGGATTTGCTGGGTGCTGCATCTTCTGTCGGTGCTTGCTACACCAAGCAAACTGTACATATTCACAGAATATTACATAATACGTACAGTATATTTATCATTGTTTATTCCATCGAATGGTTGTTACTGTCACATTATATCCCATCATATTCATTGATAGTGCATTGCCAAATATATAACTCTATATGTTATATTATCTATATACATAATATATATATATAGAATCTTATAATTATAGTATAGAATCTTATAATTATAGTTTAGTTACTGAAATTATAGTGGATATACTAAACTCATATTCACTAAATTATAGTGATTTACTCTAATTATTTTCAGTAACCATGGGTATATCCCCATGGTGCCATAGCCTCCAGCCCTGGGATCCCCGGACGCCATTTCGCGCTGCGTTCGCGGCGCTCCGAGGGAGGCAGCTGCTGATGTGTGTCGCTGGTCGTCAGGGTGGCCTTCCGAATCCATGGAATCCATGGGTAGATGGTTATAGATGGTTATAGTTTGCCAGATATAGAACCCATCTATAGCAAACATTAGCAAACTATACATGTTTATAGAAATATATAGATGGTTATTAATAAAATCCATGGGTTATAGATGGTATCAGCTCTATAGATGGTGGGAGAAAAAAAAACAGATAAAATATCTAGAGCTCAGCTATGAGCTCTGTAGATTTTCTTTCATGGGGAGCCTCTATACTAGTAGTGGGTTAATACATGTTATACAATACTACTTGTACCAGCTTTTTATAAACATGATTGCAAGCAGTTACAAAAAGCGGGTACGCAACATTTTCAAGTTCGTCATCATTTTGGGCGACCTTTTTGAAGCAGGGAGTCGGGGTTTATCTTTGTTGTAGAAGACGGTAGAAGGCCTAATCATGAACACCATACTCTCATTTTTTGACCATTCAAAGGAGGTGAGTATCTAGCATACTGTAACCATACCAAATTGTGGTTAAGTACTGATGGCTAAGGTTTCATGTTTTTGGTTTACCACGTTTCTGAGCTACTTCTTACACTATCATGGGCAGGAAGCGGGACGGTTCACATTGCATCTTCCAGTCTGTTCACAACCTCGCATTTCATAAAGGGATTATGGGTCAAAATTTGGGCCAAAACGTGATGGTTTAAGAATGTATTTGTAATAAAGTAATAAACGTGACCAACATTTCTGAATTGCGATGCCTCAACTTTGACCAAACCGCCAGAGTTCTTTCCCTCACGCCTGCCCCCATCCGAAGAGTTTCACATTGACTTCCGGTGGAACCTGGGGGGACATGCGCTGCTGTAGTGCGAACCGTGTTCTCAATGAGCCCAAGTTGAAACACTGGAGACTCATCATCATGGTAACCCCCAATATATATTGCATAATCCCCCAACTAATCATCAACCAACCGGGGTTTTGAACTCACTCGTTTTATTCCAGCTGCATGGGACAATGATGTCCTGTTGGACATCAAGCAACCAGTGGGAATTAAGGAATTAACGCCTTGTAAAAGTATCAGTTTTCCTTCCAAATCTTATAGGGAGATACCATCCTTCATTGTTGGTTGAAACATCTTTTTTTGGGATACCATGGGTCCCTACATGTTCGTACCAAGGAAAAAGATGTGTTTCTTCCGCGGTCTTCTCCGCAAGCCCTTCTTCTCGGGGAGCTATCACCATAGTTTCACATAAAAAATGTTGCTACGTTAAGGGGTAAGCATGGCGGAGTACAGTAACCAGCAGAAGTGGGGATATCACTCCCATAATTGTGGCCTAACGGACCTACTTGTTAAATGGTCCCCATTGTTCGTTGTATCCCCATTATATCCCCAATATTTTCCATAACATATGCCCATAAACTGCTTGCTAAACAGTTCCCCGTTCCCCATGGTAAAAATGCATGTTTAAAACATCTTTTTTACATGTGTGTTTTTCTTTTTTTCGAGCCGGGCATATCCCCATTTTTTAACGGGTCTGAAAATAGGGTAACCCTGAAATTTGATGGTTACCCTCTGGTTATGTCAAAATAGCTATTGAAAATTACCATTTATAGTGGATTTTCCCATTGAAAATTGTGATTTTCCATAGTTATGTTAGTTTACCAGAGGGTAATCATCATTTTCCCCATGAAATGCCCGTAAAGTGGAGAAAAATTGGTCCTGGGAGTATCCCTGCATGACCCTGCCATGACGCCATGACCCACGCTGAGCCGCCCCACAGAGCCCTCTGCACCAGTGTCCAGGGTCACTGCCAAGGAACTTCCCAGCCAGAGCCTGTAAGATGATGGGCATAGTGCAGCTTCCGGGGAAGGAAAACCTACGAAAATATGGCTCGAAGACCATGCTCAATTGATGGCTTTTGAAATGGCTGTTCCACAAGAATTGGTTCCAAAACTGATTGAAATCTGGTTTAAAAGTTTAATTGATGGGTTGGAGACCCCATGAAGCATAGGATCTTGGGATATACGATTGTGGGACAGCCGAACAGACCGGCAACAAAGGGTTCGGCTCTAAATGGGTTTCAGGGTTTCAACCAAGGAAAATTTGGCAATTTAACCACACTTAAATTGGATGTGATCATCTGCAAGCAGATATACCAAACGGTTTGATGGGGGTGAAACAGTTGCTCCAGAACCAACGGCCAACCAGAACCGGTATATTGGAAGATGAGATGAGATGAGACGAGCAACAACAGTGCGGATTTATTTTTTTTTTTTTAAGGGCAACATCTTTCGATGGGTATGGTGCTTATATTAAGCGATATTTGGCGACTGCCCAATTTTTTGTGCCCAAGCGATTTTGCTGCCCGTGGGGGTTAGGGTGACAAACGGTTGAAGAAATGTCAATACGACCACTGGCCCAATGGCTACAACGTCCTTTTGCAAACTGAATGGCCGTGGAAGAAATGCCAACTGGTTGCCTACTTCCAAAACATCTCAGATCATCTCAGTATGTAATCATAGTATTCAGTATCATGCCGCTTTCTTCAGCTGCTTATCAAGTTTCATTTAAGCAACAAGGTCCCCATACTTCACTTGAAAGTGCCAGTCTAACCCATGTGTCCAATTATTTACAAATTTCTGACAGTCATCCATCTTTATGGCCTTCAACATTCAACAACATTTAACATCATAACATATCACGGTCAACTTATGAGTCGTTCATCAAGATAAATCAGGAACATGTATCCCAAACTCCAGCGGAAAACCATCGTCCTTTTCCCCATGACAAAATGACAAGACGGCTTCCCGTTGTTCATCGCTACGTGCATAGTAGGCATCACTCGTTGTATGCCCGTTGTATATCACATCTAATGGGTGCAAAGGAAATATCACCATTGTATACCCATCAAACTATAGCTAATGGATTCAATACCCATGAAAAATCACCATTCACAATAGTGAACTACACTTATATGGGAATGGGTCAAAACCATGTAGCCCTGGTGAACATCAAAATAGGTGGCAAATGGATGTTCATCCCCTAATAAACAATATCTATAGGTATTGATCCATAGCCATATTCCATTAACTCATCATTAACCACTGTTAACTATGCTCTGCAACCAGCCATTTGTTTCAGGCCCAGTCGCATTAGTTCATTACGCCAAGCTGCTGTGGTGCAGGCGCGCGGCGGCATGCCACCGACAAGCCCGCCATTTTGCTGGCCATCTGGCAAAACAAGAACCATATTGAAGGTGATTAATGGTGATTAATGGCTGGTTAATAGTGGTTAATGGTGATGATGGATGATGATTGATGATGGTTGATAGTGACTGATGATGATTGATGATGGTTGATGATGATTGATGATGATATGGGGATGGATCACGTTACCTATGAGTTTACCATATGTTGGGGGCAATTTTTGCATCGAGAAAAAACCAGCTATTTTAGGCTACCGTTTGGGTATCAGCTTTTTGACCCATAACCATTTAATGGTATCATAGCGACATATACAAACATACAATAGTGGATATATTGGGGACACGATATCTCCATATTATGGTGGGATATCATGGAAATTAATGGGAGAATACAAAACAGTGATTTCAATTGGTGAATATATGCTAGTTATTTTACTTTGGGATTATCCAATAGCAAACAAAAGGGAGATGGGGCTGGAACTCCATTTCCAGCTATGGACTGGCAAAAGAAGAAAAACATACATCGGTAAAAATGCCTGGAAAGGACCGTTTTGCATTACACACATACCCGCATATGTACATATATCTTTCTATATTCATACTATATGTATATATATATATACATGTTATGTATATATATATATATATATATTCCTACAATATTACTATGATAGTAGTGCTATATATATAATATATATATATATTATGTATCCATTGTGATATAGATTACAGCATATCTCTCTCTTGATTGCAAAATCTCACGCTTTCCTTCGCTCTCTGAACACAACCCAACCCCCACCTGGCTTAGCAAATGTTGCGCGATGCCTGCTGAATCCCCTGGCGTAGGCACATTTCAAGATGGCTCACAAGGCACTGGGAAGCAGAAAACTGATAGGGAATAGGAATTTCCAAACATTTGGATCATTATCTGGAACTCCTATTAATCCTGTTCATTTCGGTCAAGTTTTTTCTGGGAATTCCCAAGCTTACGGGGAAACCCATCACTTTCTGAAATTCTTGGGGCTTGGAGCGGTTTAGCTCCCAGATTCTTGGATGAGAGCCAACGTGCAGGACATTCTTGGTAGGATTAATTGGATTCAAATATCAACGAATTCAACATATAGTAAATAAATACATGTTGAACCCCTGCCAATTGCGGTTTGGATCATGTTCTTATATATATATATATCTATTTATATGTATACATATGTGTATATATATATATATATATCTGTGTGTGTGTGTTCCATTCTCCAGCTGAACAGTTCTGCCATCACTTCCCCCCAATTGGTCCCTGGCGTCACCTACTTTTGAGCCCAAGCTTTGCATGTCGGCGAAGTACATGATCACATCGGGTGCGGGCCTGAGATTTGACGTCACGTGCTGAGTCACGTGCCAATGGATTGAATGAGAACGGAACTTGTTGCGGCTGAAGCTTGAGAAACAACATTTTCAACATTTTTCAACCTTCAAACATCGTTGAATAGATATGTTGCCTCTTCATTTTCCCATCATGTAAGGACACGAACCGCAATGGCAGGTGAAGAGAGAGCCAATCAATGGGGCTTCAGGGATGTGGCAGCAAAAACACGATGCATTTTCAGCTGGAAAAATAGATATGTTTTTTTTTCAATAATGTTACAGATCCATATAATATAAGGGAAGCAATATGATTTGTAAGGCTTTATATGCAAGTATGTTTGAAATCGCAACTTAGAGTGCATGGATGAGACGCCTTCCTTTATAAGTGATAGTGATGGTGTGTCATGATTACTCCCACATCAATTTTAGGTTAAGCACTTAACCCCCTATATTTTTCATAGATAAAACAGCTAGGAAAATAGCCTAGCCTTCACCAGTCCCCCGATATGATGACTTTTCACCATAAAAAATTGCTGGCTGGACTCCCTGGCACCAAAAATTCATCCCCCTGGGGCAAGGGATTGCCAATTTCGGTGCTTGGAGTTATCCATGTTCAAACTCCCATTGAATGGTAAAGACCATGTAAACAACCTCAAATTAAATGTTGGTGTCTTCAACAACCATCTAGTGGTCAAAAAATGGAAACAAAAACTATAGTACCTATAGATTTTGGATGGTAGAAACATGTAAAACGACCAGAGGGTGGGGTCACTCAATAGCTAAGTTGGTTTATAAATTATATAAATTTATAACTTGGTGAAATCTATTGTTAACTATGGTCTATGATAATATAATAAGTATACTTAATGTTTTTTTCTTTCTAAACCAACGTTCACATCACAGGGGGATCCACATGGCTCAGCGGCATTCGATGTAGCATGGCCTTCCTCACTTTCTGCCGCACCATCGATCGCGTGGTTTTTTCGGAGGTCGGCGAGGACGGGGTCGGTGAGGTAGAGCCCTGGGACGGGGTCTCTCCCACGACTAAAAGGTAAGTGATTTGAAGCATTCATCATGATCCATCATGATCCATCATGATCCATCATGATCCATCATGATCCATCATGATCCATCATGATCCATCGATTTTTGGAGTCTTTGACGGAATTTGATAAGTTCAGTAAGTTTGATCCAGAATTTGGTGAGTTTAAACCACAAAAAGATTAAAAAGAGGACTCTGTTGGGGATTTTAACCCCACATCTAGAGAACTCATAGTTTTCAACCACCAGACCACAATTCTGAGTCATGTTCGCGCGGGGATCATGAAGATTTCACGTTGGGTGCAGGTTTTTTTTTGGGCTCCTCCATCTTGAAAACACATGTTTCACGCACGGGCGGGTGACATGAGATGACATGAGATGATGAACACAATGCGAAGACCTGGCTGGCATTGACCATGGCTGTAAGTGATGAGGTACCCTCTGGTTATGTCAAAATAGCTATTGAAAATGACAATTTATAGTGAGTTTTCCCATTAAAAATGGTGATTTTCCATAGTTATGTAAACGTTTACCAGAGGGTAAGTGATGACCAACAGAACCAGCCTTTCTTGGTCTGAGACAGCCATCCAATTGTTGGTAAAATAGTGTCATCCTGAAGTCGTAACAAATCTCGTTGAATCATATTGAATGATACTATAATCTCTAGATATAATTACTATTCTTATTACTACTATTATTCTTATTCTCATTGTTATCATTATATGTATTTATTGACCCATGATTTTTGGTTGGGGATGAAGTCGGATTCATTCCCATGGCATTCGGTGCATTCCCATGGCGGTCTTGGGCCTCGGTGCCTTGCCCGCTAGGGCTTACAGGGCCTAAGCCCAGCTCCAACAAGGGATCTGCAGAGTCCAGTGAGGCCTCATACCACAGGCCCCATCATTATGTTGGTCGGGAAAATGGATGAAAATGGGGGGGTTCGAAGTTAACAGAGCCTAAGAGAGCCTTGATCATCTTGATCATTTTCAGAAAGTGCTGTGTGAAATTTATCTGTTTGTTCTGGTTTTCATGATGTTTCGCCTCTCTTTTTGGTGCTTTTACCCATCTTTTTGTGAGTGTTTTTATGCTTTTCTCCATGCCTGGAGATTCCCATTCTTGGAGCTCTGAGATGGTAAATTTTGCTATTTGAAATGGGATATCTTATCTAAGCGGCAAAGATCATGACATTCAAGGGGTTGATGTTAAGGGAACCTTTTCAGATGTTGGGGGTTCCTGTAAGCCTTCCCGTTGACCAATTCTGGAGTTTTCTTTCCAACCAAACAAGGATACAATAGGCTATATATATAATATACAGTTTGACTTGCAGCTTCTGAAACGATTGAGATATGACCTGTACATTATGGGATAGCATCCATACGCGCAAGTCTGTCTATCCCAACTGGATCCACAGCACCCTGTGACCAGCCTCACCCGACGTGCCAGGTTCGGTAGCCCATTATTCTCAGAGAAACTTCTTTCCATGGGATTGATATAGAAACTCTCTCAATCTACTATGGTTACTATAACTTGTCTCAATCCCAATGATCATCAATGATCTACTCGCAAGATTTGTTTGAGAGTGGGTTTGATCTATGGTGAAAAGAAAAACATATATTCACATTGGTGCTGTAATCATATCTTACGTTTGAATATGGTTGATAACTGACAATGTTTGATCGGGGGATAGGATTCTACCCCCTAATAACGTCCAACAAATGCAGACGTCAAATCTCAAGTCAAATCCGACTCTAAAATGCTCTAAGGAATAGTCTGGAAGCACTATATTTTCATGAGGTTTCCGCATCTTTTTTGGGGGTTACTAGTCGCTAATAACATAATATATGGTGGCTGATAGGTACAGCCTCCGGCAATCAAACTTGGCACTGCCAAATCCCCGTTTACAGATATTTATGAGTTGATTTTCCCAGCTATTGATGCTTAATATCACATATATATATAATTATTATGTATATATATATAATCATATAATTATATAGACATAAATGATATGCATATATATATTATTATATATATATTATTATATATATATTATGTATATTATAAATTATATGTATATATTATTATATATATATTATTATTATATATTATATATACATTACTGTATATTGTACATATATATATATATATATTATTATTATATATATATTACATATATATATATATTTTATATGCATATCCCATGAATAGCCACTAATCATATCGTCAGTTCCTCCCATGTTACCTCTTTCCCCTGGCGTTCCCGACAGGACTTCCCTGAAATCGCTCCAAGCGGAAGCCCTCCGTGGCATTTCTGCCACTGCCCTGGCAACGTGGCATGCTGCGGATTCCTCCGTTGATTCCTCCGTTGAGTTGGAAGATTTTCCGGGCCATCAGAAGGTTGAAGTCCCCAACAGGGTGACACAGATTGGGATGGTAAAGATGTATGATATAAAACTCATAAAGATGTTTGAAGTAATACACAATCACGACCATCGAATCTGTGATTTTTGTCTCTTGGCAGCGACTGGTGCTCGTCGACGCGACGACTCATGGCATGTCGGAGAGCGACAGGAGCCTTTCCAGTCGCGATCGGTGATCCCAAAAATGGTTTCCCAAAATCGTACCCCAATAGCTGGATGGTTTATATGGAAACTATTGGAAACTCCTTTTAAAATGGATGATATTGGGGGTACCCCAATGACTTTGGAAACCTCCAAAGATGGATTGAAAGCAAAACATACATTTGAAAACCACAAAGCAAGCTTCAGTCTCAGCTGCAGCACGTCCTAATGTCAAATCAACCAGTGCCCCTGCGAATTCTTCGCCATATTTTTGGAGGGGACTAAAACATCAGTGGGTCAATAGTTTGGAGCCAATCCCAGCTGATGCCAATTTTAACCAATTTGTAAATAAGCCAGCCATATTTGATTACTGTACATAAACAAACATAATAAATAAGAACATCAATATGATAAATTATTTGTAATATTACCCAGTAACCAAATATTGCTGTACATAAAGTAAACAAACATGAAGATTTCCAAGCCAGCCATATGTGATTACTGTAGCGGCAGGTACTCACCACTAAAATTCCAACTGGCTGAATGTTGGTTGACATGATATGGCGCATGGTACAAAATCTTACATGTTACGCTCTGGTTGTGTCAAAATAGCTATTGAAAATTACCATTTATAGTGGATTTACCCATTGAAAATGGTGATGTTCCATAGTTATGTTAATTTACCAGAGCGTATCCAATCTTCATTTGTGTATGCTCTATACTATACCTTTCTATGTTTTTGTATGTTTTTGTTATATAGCTAAAAACCCACTACTTGTAGACTTGTAGCGATCCCCCAAAGATAAAGGAGAGTAAAATCCTGCTACCCTTTGGTAGTCAAACATAGCCATAGAAAATTGCCGATTTAGTACTATGTTTATCGATTTTTCATCGCTGATTTTCCTGTTCCAAAACTGCAACAGATATACTTATTACCATCTGATAAGACAAACATAGCTATGGAAGATCACCATGTGAATGGGAACATCAACTATAAAAGGACAATTTTAAATAGCTATATGTCATGCTATGTCAAATTACGAGAGGGTACCAGAGGGCAACATCTTCTTCTGGGACGTTGCTGCCGTTGCCAATCCAAGGGACGGTTGTGGAGGATCAACACCACCCAGCGGAGTTTCGCAGGTGGGCGAGGAAACGTAAAAGCTGCGCGTGCGCTGCACCTGGTGATGCTTGTGGAAATGGTGGGATTCAGCACCAAAAAACCATGGGAAACAAAATATTTAAACAACAAAACACATAGGACTAGAACACGATCGTTGTAAAGACCAAATACATATAGAACAACCCACGGTCAATCGTCTTCTAGTTTTTTTGAGGTCCATCTTGGTTTTCAGGAGGGTATATCATAATAATTCAAAATATCTCTATAGAAATCTCACGGAAAGAGCATAGAAAGCCTCTGAAGACACCGAATCTTAGATACTCTGTAAACAAACATGTTTGGTGGGCTAGGACAATATCACCATTTATAGCAAAATCAAGATATAATCCATTACCTCCATAGTCGCTCAAGTGTGATCTAGTTTGGGATAATACCTTCAATGTTACATTAAAACATATCAATTCTCTCAGTATAGCATTACACAGTATAATTATACATCTTATATTTCGAATTACCAACCAGATATCATCAAACTGCCTATGGAAGAAGCACAACCTTTTAAAGATAGACAAATATATGTGTATATAATATATATATATGGACACTGGTATCAATGGTTGACATCATCCGGTTTCAGCGACAGGGAGTCTTGACAGAAAACCCATGTGGTTATTGGATGGGGCTCCATACACCTAAAGCAGACTCTCTGCAGCCATTTCGTGGTGTTTTTTCTACTCACAATGCCAGCACTACGAATATTTTTCACCAGTGGAATTCGCGCCCGCACATAAGTTTATGTTATTGAGATAAACCCAACAATAGTTATACATGTAACACATATCATATATATATAATATAATTCTATCATATATATATAAAATTCAATAAACAACAGTTTTCCAGCAGTTTACCATTTGAGGCCTTTATTGAAACCCTTGCGATTCATCACCACAGAAACATTGCGGTTGATGAAAAAAATGGCTTTCCCAAGGCGCGTAAGGGCCGGAGCGCGTCCGCACAACCCACCAGACCTGACAAAGACAGAGAACCTCTGAGATCTCCCTTGCTGCTTTAACAGTCTTTAACCAGCAAAAAACAAGATAAACAAGTAAGCTCCCAAAAGATAGAAAAGGTTCATGGTAAAGGTATGAAAAGGTTCAATTTGCCATGAGTTCAATACTTGCGAACTTCTGTCGTTTTCGAGCCTCATATTGACCTCGACAGAGCCGATGTGTCGCCAGGAACACTGTCTGGTAACCTGCATACGTTGATCGAGATGTCAGGCTTTGTTCAAAAAATGTGTGTTTGATCGCCAGAAACGGTAGTATAGAAATATTATGGGAATCTAATGCGATTAAATGGGATATCTAGGGTTACAATCTGATACCTCTTTGGTCAGAACTGAATAGAAATCATGGATTCACACACCAAATAGCCATTGAATGCCATTAAATCATGAGGGAATTATGATAGACACGAAAAACAATGGGTACCCAAATTGCTCAGATGTCATGCTGAGAGTTGTGCGAATTTCGCCAGGGTGAGGCTTGCGATTGATCCGATGATCTTTAAACATCTAAAGCCAATAGAAATACGACATGAAGATGATATAACTATGATATAACGGGATGTTTAATAGTATATAAACCATATAGCTATTCATCCATCTTTAATCATCCATCGCTATAAGTACAAGCTCTAATCATCCCCCTTCCACTCTAAATCAGAGATGCAGGAGGTGCTGGACCAACCTCCTCTCCAAGCCAGCCCTACCCCTTGCATGGCAAATGTATGTACAGTGCATTTGTCTCTTCTAGGTATATGTATATAAACAATACAAATGCACAGAATCTGCATAAACTATGGCAAATATCACAGTCCACAAGATGTCTCATAAACATCACCTAGATATGTACGATCAAAAACAGACCTTGTTTTTTACCATGTAAAGAACTTACCATATGGTGCTTTCTTAAAATGGGGGATCCCATTTTCGTCTCCATGGTTGTTTCAATACTAAGTCATGGTCATCCATGACGACTGGATCATTTGGGGCTACCTCTATTTTAGGAAACCTCCATATGGGTGGTTAAGAATTGGGTGCCAAGAATCACATGCCTACGTGGTCCCCACAGGGCTTAAATTTTGACCCATCCTGAAATCGTGGTAAAATATGGGGGGTTCCTAAAATAGGGCTATGTACCCCCAAATTCCCATCTTATTTTCGGATTGTCCATGAAATAAAGCATCCAGCTATTGTTGTACCCCCATGACTTCGGAACCACCAAAAAAACCTGGCACCCAAACGGTACCCTAAAATATTTTTTTCTTCTGGATGGTGTTCTCCCCCTAGTCATATGGTAAACTCATGGCTAACTTGACCAATCCCCATATCCAATCCATGTTATATCTAGGGGGCTAGTGGCATCTAGTGGGGACTAAACCATCATAGATGGGGCAACGATTCATATCATCAATCATCACCTAACCACTCTTAACCATTAGCCATTAATTAATCATCATTAATCACTATTCATCACCATTAACCACTATGAACCACTATGAACCACTATGAACCACTATGAGTCACTACTCATTCACACCTATTAATCATTATATTTTGGTTAATGGTGATGATTAATCAGTATGAATCACAATTAGCATCTATTAATCACTATTAATACCACTATTAATCACCATTAACCACTATTAACCACTATTAATCGCTATTAATCACTATTAACAACTATATTAACCACTATTAACCACCATTAATCGCTACTAACCACGATTTTGGACCTCCCCCCTTTCGCGCACCACTTGGGAAGGACTGCGCATCGATTCGCACGTCCGACAGGACCTCCTTGGTGCCGGGTCGGTGGACCTGGCATCGAGGACATCACCCGTCAAAAACCATGGGAAAACCATGAAACCCATGGGGGAAAAAAACACTGAACACATAGAAAATCTATATGGAAAATAATGGAAAATATATGATACATTATGGGTTTTCATTGCTGAATACATAGAAAATCATAGAAACATCGGGAAAAACACAAGGCGTGCACCAAACACATGGACCAATTGAGGGTGAACCACCAGAAACAGCCACATGTAAATTTATCCAACAAATTAGTCCAACAATTTAGTCCAACAAACCCAAGGTCTGTCTGAATTAAAGAATCCAGCGGTTTTCTCATCACGGTTCCCGTGATGGTAAAATGATGTGAAATGCCATCTGTTCTTGTAGACTCACTGCCACAGAACCGTAAATATGACCACCGGTGGGTGAAACGTGGATACAGAATTGCAGACATCAAAATTCATTGCTCTATTGATCTGCCTTTCAAACATTTTCAAACTATTGCTGGCCCGCCTCCAAATAGGTTCCGCAATTGGGATCGTATTCAAAGTCTGTACCACGACAGCTGGCAATGTGCGCGTTTTGCATGTACGCCACCTGCCGCTGTGGGTGGTCAGGGATTTATATATATTGCAAAATAAAAACATCTATGAACTGAAGGAGCCCTTCAATGGGCGTGCCTGCAAAAAAAGGGGATACTATAGGCCACAAAATCACATTCATATTGGGAACATGATGATAGTTATACATAGTTATAAACCATGAGACGATCCCAAGCATGTTTCCTGACGTGAGATGCATATGGCATCGTGGCTCGGATAACCAGCCTGCAGGTCTTGTCCAGCTTCGATGTCTGGGTGGTGCTGACATCCTGCGATGTTCTGATCCTTGCCTCAGCATGGACAACTTGAGCTGTGCCCCACGGCTTAAAAACCCTGTCATCCCGAATCCTACTGGTTGACAATCATTCTTCCATATTCCCACAATTTTGGAATATCAATGAATATCATGATCCATGATGGTCCCATTCAGCAGTAAACAACTTTGTACCGTGGTCCAGCCCGAAGATCATCAATGTTCCCAGCAGACCCTCAAAACTGGGTGTGTCCAAAATCAAATCGTCAATGTTCAGCGAAACAATCTGCTAGAGTGCCATTTCGTGGCATTACCTTAGACACGCAACAAAAAAAATCCTCCATTGTTCCTCAACGTTTAGAAACACGTCACACTTTTCACCCTTCACCCTGGGTTTACCCTCGAATGTCTGCACGACCGCACGACGCACCAAGGTGCAACATGCAGAGCCTCTCCCACCCGCGCGGACAAGATCCCGACCTTGGTACTGGCTGCAAAGCCCATCCTTTGAATCCTTTGTATGGATATTGGGGGATGAACCAACCAAAATTGGGATATGCCTAACCATTCCTTATAGAAACTTAGTTAGTTGTTTTGGGGGGCATGGGGGGTGCATTGGTACTTGAAAAACCCCCACTCTGAGAGGCCGGCATGGATCGATGAGAATGTCTATGCTGTAGGCAACCTTGGTCCCCAATTGTACTATAATTCTACATAATTTTACTATAAATGGGTGGTATAAACCATCGATCCACATAGGTTTTATTGATTTTCGCTTTACTCACATCATGAAACTTAAGGTGATCTTGAATGTTCAGGGAACATCAATCGGCTACTGCGACATTATGAGAGAAATGCCAAGTGGCATAGTCATTCTGCAAACGAAACCTCAGATGTGCAACGCGCACAACCCGTCTGATCTGGGAAAAATCTGACCTGAAAGGACTGCCTTGCAGAAATTGTGGAGGAATGCCTTGCAGGTGTGCGAGTGCTTCTCCACTTCTACCAAAGTTTGAGTTTGCAAACAATCCATTTGGTTTTCAAACGTGGGGTTCTCTCACTGTTCAAGCCCATGGCTCTATGAGCATGATAGATACCCCGGATGCCATGTAACACACCAGTAATTTTCCAGGCTGCGTCAGGTCAAAGATTTTCAACCTCCAAGTTCCAGCATGCAGAACTGCATCCTACTGAGTCAATATCTATCAATATCTGTCAATACTGTCCTTGCCACAGTTCAAAAGGCCACCTCCCGGTCAATACCTTACCAGCCAGGGCTCTTGTAGTCCGTTCGGATCAGCGCAAAGTAGGGCGCTGTATCCCGCCTCGAACCACCAGGGATGCTTCGTAAGATCGGCACCTCTCTGGTAATGGCTCACAGTGAAAATATGTGAAAATCAAGCCAGTGCAACCATGCCTATTCTTAGATGCCATGCAAAAGATCAATTCTTAGCAGAGGATAGTCCCACATATGTATGTATATGATTGTATATGTGCATCCTTATCCAAATATCCTTTTGTGATCACTTATGGCGAAAGATGGAATGTGATTTACAAAGTCAATACAATGTGGGTTTGCCTGAAAACATGGTCCCTTTAATCCGCTGCTTAAACACCTGAAATGGCCGCTTAACATTGCCATAAATCGAGTAAATCCCCGTTTTCAAACACGCCCATATCCATTGTGCATTGGTTTGAACTCCATTATTGTTGATGGTTGAGTCCCTATGTTTGCTGTTAATACCTGTTGTTCATGGTTAAATCCCATTGTATCATTATTGTTGATACTGAAATCTCTATAGTTGATGGCTAAATCCCTATGGTTCCCTACTCTTGATGGTTAAATCCCCAGTGTTAACGTTTAAACTACGTAAGTTAAGCGCCTATTTTCCATGGTTAAATCATGTTAAATCCGTATTTTCCATCGTTCATTCCCTACTTTCCATAGGTGAATACCCTTCTCCGCGAACCATCTGCGGCGGCCATCTTCGTCACCAAGCTACTGAGGCATGTTCTTCACAGGTGACCAACCGATAGCATCCTGGAACAAGAAATCCGGGGGTTGAGTCCCAAAAGGTCAAAGGAAAATTTGTTGTTGAAAACCTTTTTTAAAGGGAACAAACATGTTCTTTAACAATAGATTTATTTTCCCTCAAATCCATTTGACTTAAATGGTTTGCTGCACCAAACATGTCGATATAACTTTTAGCAACACTCAAAATAAGATGCAGAAAAAACTTCAAATTACCAATATTGGATACACTTTCTGCATTTGAAGAATGAATTTGCCCTTTCTACATCTTTTTTTTGGGGGTGCTATTAGCTATAAAGATTTTTTCACATAGAGAAGATCACCATGGTGGATAGCATAGGTTCCACCTCCAAAACCACAACACTTGAGTTCGGCCAAGTGGGGATAGTTCGCCGGCCTGTGACCCCAATAAAATTCCTATCATTTCTAGTGAGCAGTGAATCCCTGGTGAATCCCTCGAGCTGGGTTGGTGCACCTCACTTCTGAGCATCCAACCTCAGGAGGACCACAGCAATCTATCTTTTGGGCCACAAGGGAATTGCCTGGCCCTTTGAAGGATGTAAAGTACCAGCAAAAGGAAGACTTTGATTCATAACTCATAACTACGTAATTTTCATTAGTAGTCAGTTTCCATGGGTTCCATTCATAATTAGTTTCCATTGCAGATGGGGTTAATAATTAGTTTCCATTAATAATTCCACTGATCCCAGTGGTCATTGACAAACTAATCGTTGGACAGGGAGAATCATTGGTGTTCCAATCGTTTCGCATCGTTTCGCTGTTGTTTCCACATATTTCCCTATGATTTCTATGATTTCACAATTATTGCCCTTGTATTTCACCAAGATTTCCATATTATCTCACCATTTCACCATTATTTCCCTCTTACTTCCCTCTGATCTCCCCATTATGTCCTTATTGTTTCCCTTCCCTATTACCAGTATTTCCTTATTCTTTCCATATGTCGTTATTACTTCACCATTTTTTTTTCGCCATTATTCCCTACTGTGACGTTTCCACCCTGCAAGATCAATATGTTAAAGTTAAGCAACCTCACCAGCTTATCAATAATATGATCATCCAAGTACCCTCTGGTAATGACTAACATAGCTATGGAAAATCACTATTTTTATGGGAAAATCCACTATTTCTATGGCCATTTTCAATAGCTATGTAACAAATTACCAGAGGGTACCCATCCGGAAATACTTGGATTTGACCCTCAAACAACTCAAACAACTCGCCCATTGCAAATCCAATAGGCACAGCCATGGCTGTGCTGCGAGGCCCCTCATCAGATCTTCACCCAATGGCCAGAATGGGAGTCTCACAATGACCCACAGTTTTTGCATATCACAAAAAAAAAAACGAAATGAGCTTCAGGCATTGTAGCGCAGTCAGCCACACCAGCCGCGGCGTTTGCCATGTGGGCAGCATCTTGAAAGATGGGCGAAAAGCAGGGACCTGTGGGTCTGTATCAGGATATGTCGGGATTGAGTACCTCGACTAACTCGATGATTTCCAACATTTTCAAACTAGAAATGAGCAAAATCTGTCAATCCCACAACCCTTAACGTTCTAAGATTCTAAGCCATAGTCTTGTCAACACAACCAGTTCCCCCGCATATCTGCACCGCGACGCTTACATGTTCAGAAATGTTCAGGACCTGCATGAAACGATGCCGAGGTGTCCGAGGTGTCCTCTTGGGATTGCAGAATTTGGGTGAAACGCTGTGAGCCTCGACAACCCCACCTGGACTCGAGTCATGTATAGATAAAAGGTGAAACCCAAACTGGACAACATTCTGTAGGTTGGCAACATCTACGAGTTTCTTTTAGCCAAAGTTTTTGACACCAAACGAGTTTAAGCTGACACACTGAGCCAATTCGGGTTTGGCCACAAATCGTGCACTTGGCTTTTCAAGCTGTATTGGCCATAAAATCATGGGGGTGTACAACCCATTTTCAACAACAAGCCACATGATTCATAATCCACTAAAACTGTTCAAGGAAAACACCGCATCACGGACATGCTCTTTCAAGGAAAATCTACAGGAAACCTTGCTTTTTCCAGCAAAAGTGAAGCTTTCCAGAAAATGAGTTCCTTGCAACTCTGGGAAAATCCAATCCAGCAATGACAACTGGATATTGCTGGCCCCCAATTTGGAAGAATCCAAGGATCAATCACCCCCATGGCCATGGCATGGCCCAGCTGAGCCTCCAAGATGCTTTGTTTCAAGGCTTGCAACCTTGAGGTGCCAGAGCTTCCGGGCACTCCATGGCCCAGCTTCAGATCCACCCTGCCACGGGATCGGCTGGACCATGGCTGGGCTGGGCTTGGATGGATTCCCCCCCAAGTTATGATCATTTGTCATCAGGAAAGAGTGTCTGGTATTGAAAACTTGGATTGCATTTCATTTATTAACAGAAAAGATTGAGAATTCTATGATCAACTGCGAACTTGGGAAGCCAGAAAAGATAACCCACGTGCCACCAAGACAATACAATGGGTATATGCAGGATAGTTTCAAACAATAGTGAATCGGATTCATATGGTGATTTTCACCAAAAGTGGACTTTTGGCTTCAGGGCCTGGAAAACACGACGACCTATGTTCTTTACCATAGACCAAAGATCTTTTTCGACATGGCAAATCCATAGATATTTTGTTTCGGGGGTGTATCAACAGTGAAACTTTAGCATATGACTGGTTGGTGGTTTCAACCCCTCTGAAAAATATTAGTCAGATTGGATCATCATCCCAACTATTGGGAAAAAATAAAAAAATACCACCAACCAAATGATGTTTGGCAGGATTGTGCCAGGCGATGTACAGTTATTCCAGTCACTGGCAGGATTTGCCACATCACTCACCGACCCCACGGCCTTTTTTCACCTCCCTGAACTGGCCATGTTTGGAATGGTGAAACATGGAGACCAGGAATGGTGAAAGTCATGCGGATGCTTCTTGTTGTTTATAATCATGTTTGGTGATGATCCGTCCTTGTCAATAGCCGCTTCTCAATCAGAGCTCTGAAAAAGTCTCAATCCGGTTGTGGCTTGCTGGATTTGCTGCAGGCTGCCATCAAAACAAAACCATATACCAGAGTGTTCCTAAATTGTGAATGAATCTGGGTAAATTATAATATTTCACTAACCTGAATAGTTCGGCCATTTGGGGATGATTCCTCTTATTAACCAATGAATAAGTTAAACATAGTTTTCCTCATGGTTGAAACGATGTCGCGGTGGTGTCTCCTGCAAGGGCCCATTCTCAGGTCATTGCACCTGCAACTGGGGACTGTTTGGAGGTAGCCCAGGTAGGCAGGTTCCAGCATGATTTCGAACACATGTCTAAAAGAAGTTCCAAACACAAAGAATAAAACAAATTTGGGACAGATGATGAACAAAGATACATGATCCATCGATTCTTGAATCTTCTCACAGCCAAGCGACGGTTTTGATTGTTGGAAGGCTTTATGAGCATTGGGAGGCTTGCGAAGGGGTCTCAATAAAATAGTACTTCAAAGAGTGCCATAATCCAGGGTGCAGGGTGACTAAAGCAGAGTGTTGGATTCTGTTGTCAAACGGTTTGTGGTGACCCCTGTCCCTCAATCAAACTGAGCGATGGGTTTGGCAACATCGAAGGGCAGAACGAATATGGTCAAATGTCACGTCACACCAGCAAGTGACAAGTTTCCCTGTTACGTCCACTCTGATCCCTTGAGAAACATAGATTTGTCATGCTTGGTCCAAAAATGACCTACCGTTGGAAACCCCCCTCTCAATGGAAGTTGATAGCTGGGAAAATCAACGAATAGAGGATTTTCCAGCCCTATTTGATGACACCGGAGGGTAACAATCATCCACTCTCGTCAGTGTGCCAGCCGCCAGCCTCACTTTTCATCATTTTTCCGCCTGCACCGGGGGCCATCATCTGATGAGTTTCCCTTTGGATGTGGAGCCCCCAACATGTTACATTAACCTTCTCAAGTTATGGTATTTCTAATTGGATAAATCATGCGAAAAAATTGATCAACCATCAAGTTTGGGCCATGCTCAGCTTCAGGGTGAAATTCTTGGCAAACAAGACAGCTTTGTCAGAAAGAGGTAGCGAAAAAAGGTGGCAAACGGGATCATGGCACCATTCCCAACAAGGGCCGCCTGTGACAACATGCCCATCAACAGCTCACCTGAATCACCTGGCCCAAAACTGCTAGTCTATAGGCTTAAATATCATATTAATATGTATTAATATAGTAATCTCAAACACCAACACAACTCATCACCGGAGAGCTAGTTTATTCCAGCTATAGCTATAGATGTTGTACCAAATAGTTTCACCCTGAAATGAACTGCGTTAACCTGACAAGCATATTCAATGACGGCGAAACCAACCATCAACTTGGATCCGTTATTCATTGACGGGCGGAAAAAGAGGGAATTCTGACATTAGAACCCCCAAATGGTAGATTTCTCATTTGACCTATTCTGAAAACCTTCAGTCACTCCAATGTCGTATCATTTTGGGTACGCCAAAGCTTACGCCATGCTTACGCGCGTAGAGTTTTTTCCTTCCGCGAAGCAAATTGAGGAAACCCTTACGCGAAGTCCTTACGCGGCCTTACGCAAGTGATGGTTTTATGCTTACGCCAAACGCGTTATGACAAGGCCCTTACTGCAGTAACTCACCGTTGCTGGGGCCCAAGTCCCATCTCCCGGTCCCGATGCTGGGACACCCCCAAACATGGTCCAAAAAATTATTGCTTACCATCCAGCAATCAAACATTGCACTTGAACATTCCCTGCAAATGTACCAGACATTTCAGTGAGAGTTGAACTCAACGAACTCAATGGATCTAAATGGTGGATTTTGAACTGTTTGATTACCAATGATCACCATAGGCATCCATAGGCTACATCCAGTTGTTTTGTTCAATCCCCCCACATGTCGGACCGGGACAAGCCCCAAAACCTTCCCCACTCGAGGACGCTTGGAGGCGGGTTCCCCGATCTCAGCAGAGGCCTGGCCCAGGGGGGTTGAAGGACAGCTTAGACATCTTAACAACAACGACGGTTTTGATGATGATAGTTGGTTGGCAGTTTTTTTTGACAAAGGTTGATGATAGTTGACAGTTTAATCATGATATATCATGATAATCATTGAGGTTTCTTGAGTGATATTATGTGAAATATCATGAAATTGACATCAAACATGATTCAAGTGTTCGAAATAATACTAGTTCTGGCCCTGTGAAAATGCTACCTCAAAACTTCCCAAACATCCCATGGAAGGGATGCTTGCTCTGGGATGAGCAGTGGGACGAAACTTCCATGTCTGAAATGGTTTCGAAACAAGATGCCTTCCCTGCAAGTGCTTTGTTTTGCCATCAATCAAAACAAAAAAAGGTATCATAGATACCGTATCTGATTTCTATGGCTTTCCTCGGGAAATCAACACTGAAACTGAATTTGTCTAAAAAAAACACCATCGTATTTCCCACGAAATTTCCGTGGAACATCAACCCTTCCTTACTGGATAACCCATCAAATGAAGCATCCAGCCTCGGCTGAAGCACTTGCCTGCACTTTTCTCGGCCAGGAATATGTCAGGACACCAGCAACCCATGGAGTCAGGTGGTGTAAAGATATACCCTCTGGTAAACTAACATAGCTATTGAAAATGGTCATTTATAGTGAGTTTTCCCATTAAACATGGTGATTTTCCATAGCTATGTTAGTCATTACCAGAGGGTATTTTAAAACAATACACTGTTCAGTGGATATGTTATATGTTTACCATTTAACAAACCCTGAGATTCTATCTGCACTGTGAAGCTGAAACGGTAGCCCATGTAATCCAATGCCATTCATGTCCTTTTTTTTTTTTCCAAAATATGGCCATAAATGGGTGGTGAATATCATCCCCAAATGGCAGGTCTATGGCATGGGGGGTTTACCACACTGTGCAGAAACTCTGCAGAACTCCACCTGTGCCGAGTTCTCTGCGACCATTTCCATCACCTGCGACATGGAGGACCGAATACTTGGCAACCCCCCAAAAAAATGAACGAGACGATACCATATGTTCATATATCATCATATATCGTCCAGTTGGGGGATTCATAAACTGTGGAGGATATGGGGTTGATGATTCAGCGCTGAGCAAATTCGAAGAATCGCCCAGTTGACGAACACAACTGCCTCCTCCTCAAACTTGGCACTGTCAATGGCAGGTGCACTGTCAATTGCAGGTGCACTGTGTTGTTGATAAGCCCCACTGTCCTGAAGCCACGCTTTCGAACCGCTGCCCCAACAAGAACCAGCTCAAATGGTGAACCATTTGGCTCTGGTGGGGCCGGAAGCTTGAAATCATATAGCTTCTCCAAAAAAGTGGTATGTCCCAAAAATCTCATGGTTTAGAACATACGTTCTCAATATGGATATATGATACCTATAAAAATGAATAATCAAATATGTATGCATATAATTATATATATACATATACCTGGAAAACCATATGTACGGGTTTGGCCGTTACGTTTTGTTCCAAATACGGCCATGTCCGGCTGCAAAACCTCTGTTACAGGTCAATAGTTTTCATGAAATCTTGGATTCATCTCACTGGTTCCGACAGTATGAGTGTCTCGTCTAGAGACAGTATTTGGGGCAGTAGTGGCAAATATGGCAGTATTTGTGGCCAGATTTGGGTATCCGATCACGACTCCCAATTTGCTCCACTTCTGGCTGAATTTCCTCTTTTGGAGACTGTCGGAGGATGTCCGAACCCGTTGTTGTCAAAGGATTTGAACAACCCGTCACAATCAAACACCAAAACACGCAATTGAACCAAACAAAAACGTCCGTTTCAGGTAAAACCCATAATGGACAAAAAAAATGTCCATACGGTTTTTTAGGTATTTGTATGTATGTATATATATATAATGTATATGTATACATGTATATATATATATTATAATATTATATGTATCTATGTATATGTATGTGTATATGTATATATATATATATATACAGTATATGTAATTATATATATATATATTTATACAATTATATGTATATAAGCATAATAATATGATATTTTGTATATACAAATGTATGTCTAGATCGCCAGATATTGGGTGTGATATGGTGTGATCATCCCCCAACAACCCATTGGGAAAAAGCGATGATCAAAATCCCAGCATCAAGCGCGGGCGTCTTGGCTGGCGTGGTTGGGGCATATCCAGAGGACTGGCGCGGCGGTGCTCCAAAATTCTCTGCTTTGTTAAGGGGAAAACATGTAACCGAAAAACACCACGGGAAACATAAGGACCCCTGACCATTTCAGCAATTCCGCCACATCTCCGTAACCAAAGCCAGCAGCACTGGCTGCTGTGGTGCAGAGGTTTGTGGCTCATTCTCCGGTTGCCCCGTTCCAGGCGTATTTTCCTGCGCGCTTGCAAGGGGTAAAGGGCAGAGGGAACGTTTCAGAAACAAAGACAGGATTCAAATGCCAAACATGGATAACAATTTTAACAATAGGATGGATTCAGTTTCAATATGATACTCAATAGTTACTTTGGAATTGTGTCTTATGTTTTGACCATGTTTGATTGTCCAACCGACCGATCTGACCATCTGCGCCTCCTCGTTATCTGTTTCTTCAAGGCCTTCCCAGCAGAGCGAAATTTCATCCCGCCATGGGTGGCTGATCAACAAGCCACAGCCAGAAGCTACAATGTGGGGCCCGGCGATAGTCATAAACATTCATAAACCACTCATAAACCAAAGTTTTTGGAGTTATAAACCAACTTAGCTATCTAAGATTATCTAGGGGGCCCACATTGTAGCTTTGAAGCTCTTAGAAACGATGAATTTGGTGGCAACCGCCTCGACACTGGCCACTGTGCCGGAAAGATCTGAACAAAGTCTCAGTCTCAGGCCTTGATTGATGGGGTGTGTATCCTTAATCAATAGAATCAATAGATCTTGCGGCATTCGTCAAAATCATTGGGTCCACAAGAAGTGAGATGGTCGTGAAATGTCGTGAATAACGGTCCCGCCGTGCCTTTCACCTTCTCTTCCTGGCATCCAACACTGCCATTTTAATCGGACAATGATGATCAACTGTCGAATTTGGGATACCAAGTTCCAAATCCAAATGGGTTCCGGGGTCTCAAAGGACCCACAAATACCTAATCATGTTTGGAACTTTAGATGGCAACTTTCGAAAGTCATAATTCTCAGTGGTGCTCCACCCCAATAAGTTCACCACCACTTTCCCCTTAGCTGCAGGTTGTGGCTATGGATCAACAGCCTGGTCCCCTGTGAACCATCCTGTTCAGATATGGGACAATCATAGGTGTTTTTCATTCACCACGTTCTCCACATCCCATGAATATCACCTGTATTGAAAAACCAACTCTAAGATTTATATATATATATATACACATCAAAATGTATTAAAACCATAGAGACCTAAGAGAACATGTTTCAGGGAAAAATCATCCTCCAGAGTCGCCCATTGTTCAAAGTGACCTCCTCTGGCAATTCGGCTAAAGCAAACCTCGAAAGCTGGACAGAAAGTGGTCCCTGTCGGACAGTATTGTAATAGTGCCTATTAAATCCGATTTATAGGTACTTCACCTTACAGGTAGGTTATACTTAGAAACTAAAAATCACCAATTGGGGGTGAGCCATTCTGGGTCTTATGGGCTTTATCAATTATTCAATGATGGATTAAACTGGGGTTGATCCAGGCAAGTTTTCTATACATACCAGTTGTAGTTTTGGGGGCAGCACTTTTAATGAACCAATTAACTCCGCATCGTCTAAGACATATATATGAGTCATTTGGTAGTATGTTTTAGTATGCATAGTGTTTTCCCCTATCATTGGGCGTGAAGCCTTACCAAAAAAAAATGGAGGATGTTCAGAAATACCCGAAACCAAAGGATATATGCTAGTAATGGCGTAATTACCAACAAATTGGTGGTATGACTCAGTATGCCACATACCCCAAACATGCCAAATGGCCATGGGTATGGGTCAAGATTCTTCTCCACCCAGCCGGCGGCCCTAAGATGCCCCAAGCAGCTTGCAACTTTGATCATTCCACCCATTTTCTTGGGCTCCCCCACCGATCTGGGTAGATCTCACGCTCAAGCTCGTTGACCCTTAGTGGCCGTGGCTTTGGAGAGGTCACCGTTCATGGAGCTTTCAATGAAAAGCCTGGATGATTCAACAATGAGTACTTTATAGCACTTTCATGGCTTCTAGATGCTTCTAGATTCTTTTTCGGTATTTCCGCATCACATGCTCAAGGTATCTCAAGAGCTGTAGAAAGTCATCAAATCAATCTTCTCCATGATTTCGAGTCCAGCCCCCGTTCGAGCAATTTGTTTACCATCATCTTCGCCGGGTTTGCAAAAACTAACGACCTGCTTTGGGTCGGTAGGACCTACGACTACTGGGCCATCACTCCAAGGAGTACTCAATTTGGCCAACGAAGAATCCTCAGGTCTTCTCAGTAGTTCGAAGTGACCCCATACTGCGGTTCAGGGCACCAAAATCCATCAGAACTCCACGAAATTCTTCGTATGTTACGCAGCGTTTGTTCACCCACCTTATTATAACCCCAATTGATGACGACTTCCGAGCAGACATTTCCAACAACAAACCCACCAAAAATCGACAAAACCATCCAAAGTCTGTGTGTTTTGAGCCTTGTTTCTGAGTTTGTCAGATTTTTCTCCCAAAACAAAACCTCTGCGACGATTGCCGGGGGATTAACCGTGGCCACCCAGAGCCAGGGGTCGGTCTTCTCCATGGGTTCCCACCGAGAAGGGCTGTGCTCCTGTCGGAAGATCTCTGGGGGCTTGGAACCAGCAACTTGCCACAACTTCATGAGGGATAGTACCAACTGGCCACACTTAAGTCTATACCCCTCCCACCTGAGACACGACCCTTGAGGCAGAGCAACCTCAGCTGGGCCAAACATGTTGTTGCAAATTTGGAAACAAATTGATATGAATTGACTGGGATTATTATGTCTTTTCATAAGTTGCATTGGCCCACTATTGTCAGATCCACTCTATGCAACACACACATTGTATTTTATTATATCATATTAAATTCTATTATATTATATATATTATATTATATTATACTATAAATAATTACATATATATATAATAATATATATATATGCATGTTAGTAGGGCAATCATGGCCACACAAGTCTGAAATCTGAGGCGTGTCAATACCATGGCCTTTTCCATTTGGCCTTGGGCCAGTTCACCCTGGTCCCCTTTTCGCATCAAAACAGCTGGACCATTCTCCTATCCCCTCGTTCGCCTGGGAACATCATAGGCTTTGATCCATTCCCATACCATTCAAGATCCGTCAACATCCCAAATTTCCTGGTTGGTGGTTTCAACCCCTCTGAAAAATATTAGTCAGTTGGGATTATTATTATTCCCAATATACAGAAAAAAAGAAAGTGTTCCAAACCACCAACCAGTTTCAATGGTAGACTCCCAAGTTTTCAACGCTAGGGTCAGCCATGTGTCCACCTCCTGCCCTTCGCGCCTCATTCCATCGCTCAGGGTGCGGTGTTCCGAAAGGACCTCCCAGTCGCCAGGGGGTCCTTGAAGGTGGGGGTATAGAACCAACTATGTTCTGGCTGAATGGGAATT